TTTGCTCTAGAAATGAAGGTATGACTGTGTCTTTGTGAATGACCCATGTTGGCATATATTATTTTAATTGCAATTACTGATATAGAAAGATCTTCAAACCTTACAATAAATGTTTGTAAAAAATTATTTTTAGCACGAATGAAATACTCGAAAACTATATATTTTTATAGTACATAAGTAACTTACGAAATATGTTTAAATGTTACTACATTCCTAAAATGTTTTGTTTGGTTTAAATATCTGTTCCTTCCAAGATCCTTATAGACAGACTAAAAATCGAACAAAGATCTTCAAATTGTAGTACGCCATTTTCACAAAAAACGTCCATGGTTAAATAATTGTTGCAAATGAACTACATACTCCATAGACAAAAACAAACTTGTAGTTTTTGGTGATATACTCAATGATGTTTTTTGGCAAAATTATAAACTTACTAAATATTTAAAATAGTAAATGTAATAATATACCTATAAGAGGCTTAAAAGAATAAAGTTTCAAGAACTGCTTATATAGGGTATGTCCGCTTTCATATTTTTACTTTGTTTTATGGCTTAGAGATTTATTTATTCGTGTATAATATAACTTAGAAATTGAGAAAATTTGTAAATTTATGTTATTATCAAGTCAGATTTTGGACAGTTAGGCTAAAGTAAAGTTATTAAAAATGATAGTTGATATATTATTTTGAATGCACTGGCAAATTATATCTGTAACTATTATGCGACATTTTAATTAATAATTTTGAATGAGAGAAATGATTGAGATGATGAAGATTAATTTTTAAGTTATTTTAAAGAAAGATTTAATAAAAATAACAAATTTTATAAAAAATGTGTTTTCTGCAATAGTTAAATAATCATCACGATTTTTTTTTCAATCAGAAATTATTCTCTTATTGATAGTCCTAAATTGTTTCAAAATCTTTAGGGATTATTTGCTCCATTTTTCTTTTGTAGACAGGAAAATTGCATTTATTGAAAATGGCATCTAAATATAAATTTTAAAATCTATTAAAAATAACTAATTATTATTTTTATGGATTTTTGATTAAAAGTTTGAAAATCGTTGCTCCAGAAGAGAGGAGGCGGCACCGGCGGTAGTCACGCAAGATCGCATTGCAAGATCAAATTCTGGCATATGTCAAGATAATAATCAGAGAACTAGCACTCTTTGAATAAAACTGATCATTCATGTAGAAAATTATAATAAATAGGCAATTTTAATATAATTTTCCACAAACATTCTCAATGAGGCAAGAATTGCAAACATTCTAAATAAAGCAAGGCTATTGTAAATCCACATCAATTCATTTCTATGAAAACGTTCTTTACTTTACCAATGATCCTTGAGCAAATTACAATACAATTTTATAAATAATTTGCAATAAATTACGGTTCTTCCCCCTAAACTGGTCAAAAACCTGAAACATTAATTTATGTATCTATTCCCATAGTTAATTATATTTCTACTTAAAATTTTATCCCAGCGTACTTTGTACAATATTAATAAACCTCATCATAAAATTCTCGTGTCGGCTTCATTGCCAATATTTTTATATATTTCATAATAAAACAACTTTATATCAGCGCGGTACTTTCTTTTGACATAAACCGTATAATAAGTAATCAATCGGGTTTTCTTCGATACAGCTTTTTGATTATTTCTAAAACAAAATATATACATAAAATTTATTTATGGTAATAAAATGTTAAATATAAGATAATTTTTCTATCAGGTTTATGATAAAATTATTACCTAATTAATTATTAAAATAGTAATTAATTATAATATAATAATAATAAATTCAAATGCTTCTGAATTAGAAAACAGCACGTTGTATTATTAGTATTTTTATTCCCATCCTACGATTTATTTATAAAAATAAATGTGTCTTTTTCTATAACTGAAAAATGTTATTCCTTTTCCGAAGACAAATGAAAGTGAACGTTATTATCCGTCATTATAAGTAAGTGGATCTCTTCGTACAATTTGTGTACAAACAGTTGCACAAATGCATATATGCAATCAGAGGTGTATATCCCAGAGCGTATAATTATATTGTGTCATTTATTTACTCACAATAATTATAGAATTATTACAGCAAACTTGAGTCGGTTTCCTGGCAAAAGTTCAGTGACATGGAATTGGAATAATTTGTACCGATTGTGAGCAACAATTACAAATTAATAAATAATTCATAAAATGTTGAGAAATATGCTGGAATTGTATTCAGTTAACGTAGAATATGGTATGTGATTGATAAATGCTTCCTAAATTTTAAATGCAGTATTGAATGCATTTTCTACATGAAATATGCAAGCAATAAAAATTTCGAATATTGTCTAATTAAATTAATTTTTTTTTCAATCGATTTATATTAAATATACTGCTTAATCCTGTAAAATAATAAATTTCTGAGATTGTGATTTTTTAATCTTCCCGAAGAAGTTGATGTCTTTGCCAGAAACTTGGAATAGCTTTTTTGGACGTGTATAGTAATTTGGAATCGTTGGACACCAAATAGCAGGGTGTTTGTATGCGATTATGCAGGTCAATAACTGACCTATCGTCGATATTTTTTTCAAAAACTTCTGAAACATTGTCAAAATTTAAGAGCCATTCGATGAAACTAAGTAAATTTGGTTTCCTTATAATTAGAAGGTGAATGCAATAATAGCCAAAAATGCTGAACTGATCTTAAAAACTGTTCGAACCGTATTGTTTTGTCATAATTTTTGAAAATAAATGAGCATAAAATTGGAATTATTGAAAATCATTGCATTTTCTCCAAAAATCATGCCAGGAGCATAGAATTTCCAAAATCTTTGTAGTTTCTTCTAAAATCATGAGCCGCCATTTGTTTCTGGATCATGGTCATAGCAGGAAATAGGAAGAAATGACCAAATTTAGGATTCATATTTAGGAAAATGAGAGAATAGTAGAAGTTTAATATGTCCTAGTTCCTTGTACGTTTTGATGAAAGAGCTATTAGAATTACAAAATAATGAATGACCAATTTTGTTTGGTTTTGCCCTTTTCCATTTGAATTTTATGATAGTTCTTTCTTTATCGTTCGTAATGTCTTGTTGGTCAAAAACTCAAATTTTCACCACGTATACTAACTATCAATTGTTCCAACACTGTCAGGAGCATAAAATGGGAATATCCAAAATCTTTACAGTTTTTTTTTTTTAAAATAATAGATTTGTTTGGGTTTGCTTTCAGTCATAGCAGGAAATAGATTGGATAATTATTCAGGAAGTTCAGTAAATGTCTAAAAGTGGAACTTTAATATGTCCTACCTCCTAAACCATTATTTTTAAGATAGGGCTGCTGGAATTACAAAATAATGCATTTAATTAAAGCATAATTGGAAAAAATAATCGCCAATTTCGTTCACATTCCAGTTGCCGTTCCAGAGCGGACGTGGACGGTTAGAAAGCGCTCAAACTTCACGCTGATTGGTCTCGGCGGGAAATACAAAACAAATCGCAGATGCGTTCCTCAGCAGGAGTACGAGATACTACCGCAAACCAATAATTCCGCATCGCAGTTCTTATCCGATACTCAACTAGACAACAACACGAATTCATAAATAAATTCATTATAAAAACAATAACAGAAAATTTCACCGGTCAGATTACATCTTTAACTGATTATAACATAACGACGGAATCATCATCATAATCTTGGAAGACTTTCGTTTTCTATATTGGAACTCTCGCCAGTGGGATAATAAATCGGAATTTATTGGATTTTTTACATAATTTTTCAATCAGTGAGATACTGGGACAAGAAATTTGGTGAAAAGTGTATTTTAAATTAAGGATTATGAAACTGTATGTGGCACTATGTCTTGCATTTCTGCAAGTTTTTGGAACCACCGGGGAAATGGTCATAGAGAATCGTATGCCTTTATTAAAATCAAAACGTAAGTAGAATATATATATATATATATATATATATATATATATATCATCTTTCTTGTAACAATATACCTACTCATATTAATTTTGAAAAAAATCGACAAACTTCTAATCCAAAAACCTATTGTTATACCTTCATGTACGCATTTCAAAATAGGATTTGTAAAGCTTTAAAATTTTTTGCAAAAATATTATAATATGTTAAAAACACATCAATTCGTTAGATTGGTCGTACAGAAAATCATTTAAAAACTATTAATAAATTATCATTATAATTATTATTATTATTATTATTCTTTTATTTTTATTTTGATGAACTTATAGCGTGTTTAAGACCATCTCTATAGTATTTCATTTTATAAAAATGATTGATATTATCGGTAATAATTAATCAATAATTAGTCAAAATTGTAAAAAATTATAATAGAGAGTAATTTTATTATTAATAAATTTAATTGTGTATAGTAATGTATAAAATTTTCAAGTTTTAAATAATATACATAATTAAATTTTATAATGTAATTTATTGTGTATAAATAATATAAGGTTTCTGCATACTGACAATGTTGCTTATAGTGACTATTAAAATATTTAAAAATGAAAATTCAATAAGAAAATTTTGATTTATTTATTAATAATTTATATTATGAATATTATGAAGAAAAAGCACAAATTACTATAAATTATCTATTATTTTTTTTATTATGTTACTCGGTCAACATTATTGACACAACCTTTGAAAATTTGTTTTCGTTTTTACACCGCTACGTGCTCATTTTTGAGGTTTAAAATAGTTCAGTTTATATTTATCCTACTAATTAAATTTGTTAAAATTAACCATAAGACTTTAATTTACAGCTGACTGGCTTGGAGTATGCCAAATGTCCAATCCAAACAAGGACGACTGTTTCAAAAATCTTTTTGAAGGAATGTTTCCAGCTTTGTCAAGAGGTAAAATAGATATAATAAATTATAAAAAATATTTGAAATGATAAAGAATTTATTTAGAACAAAATGTATGGTAATTACAATAATTATTTTTACATTACACAAATATTTTCTGGCATATCTAGCACAATTACTTAACCCATTATGTCATGAATGTAAAAATCCCAAACAAATAATTCGACTTACGTGATTATATTTGGTAATTGAAGATTTTAATATATTCATGTTATGTATTCAATGATCAAAACAAAAGTAAAAAATTGTTTGTAATGTTATTAATCTAGTTTTTTAGTGTTACGATCATGTAACTCGTTACAATAACCCAGATCGACAAGTCAATGATGAATACAAGTATTTATAAAGAATAATGATGTAAAAAAATATTTTTTCAATTTTACAACTGCACATATAAATTAGTTATGATTGGCAATTTCTTGCTAACTTTATGTAAGACCAAGTAAAAACTAGGTTTCAAAAATTCCATAATAAATTATTCCAATCTTAAATAAATATTTATAATTAAATCACTTTTCGTACAACTATAATATTTTAGAATGTTTGTTTAGTACTCTATTGCAATGTAAATTTTATGAAATACAAAAAAAAATTTTTTTAATTATTAATTTCGATAAAAAAAAGTTCAACTGACTTGCAACTGCAAACTCAAAGTTTTTCTAATTTTGGTGACGAGCGATTCAGAATGACTTAAAACGTTTAGATAACGTAGAATAGTAAATTGGATTTTTTGATAAAGACAAATCGTTTATAAACATTTTATTTCATAGGTTCGTAAATTTTAAAATATTTGAAAAATTAATAATGAGAGCCAGTAATTTTAATAAAAGGCAAAGGTTTGTTTTTTGATTTTTGATCAAAAAAATTTAGGTTTGGATTTTTCGTATAAAAAAATAATCTGGATGTAAATAAATTAGTCAAAAATATTATTAATAAATTAGTAATTTATACAAAAACTAAAGTCGTGAAATTTAGATTATATATTCTGAAATTAAGGCAATGAATAATGCATTGGAATAACTATAGGAAATCAAAATTATCTAGTTTTTCATATTGGCAATTATTTATAGTATAGATTTTTGGTCATCGATTTTAGCAAGTTATAGCGTATTATTTTATATTTTTTTAGTATTGGTTCATGTTAAAATAAATAAAAATATTTGATAATTTTAATATCTTCATTTAAAAAAATGAATAAATTTTTACTGATTGACAGTTGACTATTCTAATAGTTTTTGGTTTTAAAAAATACCTTGAGTTAAATAGTAAAATGTGAAGAAGACAGGTTGCAACTAATCACAATTAGCTATATTCAAGCTAATTTTAGCAAATTTTTTTATTCAAAACAGATTCTAGAATTATACCCTTTTGTAAGTCGTTAGTTTTTCATTAAAAACAAAATTTGTTATATTTTTTGTATTGGTAATTTTCCTGTAATATTGATTATAAAGTTTTATTAATCATTCTTTTAGCGTTATTTTATGTGAATAATAGATAGTACTGCCCTAGGGCAGGTCCATGGGCTGAGTTAAACATCAAATCGATTTAGGGAAAAATATTGTGAAAGATTACCCATTGCCATTTCTCATCGCTGCTCAAAAATGGGGTTTTTTAATTCGAAACATATTTTGCTAAAACAAATAGAATATCTATCTGTGCTTTTAGTCAATTTAACATATTTTGAGCAAAATTAATTTTTGCACAGAATTATTTAATTTGTAAACCTTGAACGACATCTAATCGAATTTATACCCGGAAAACATCAGCATCAATTTTTTTAATATTTGTTGAATAGCAATCAGAACAATTTTATTCTATAAGCCGTTTTTTTATTTATTTTGCAATAGACAATCAGAATACATTTTTTCTATAAGCCTATGTGATGATGTTATATATGGCGTTTAAAGGTCTCCACCATTAAAGAGATCCTCTGCTAGAATTAATCTATAGCTGTCTGTATATAATTTAATATTGCAGATCCTTTGGCCATTTCTTTTTGAGTCTTTTTGTTTGTACCATTTTGTTGATGATTTTATAAGCCATTGAGCTATAATTTTGATCCCCAAACATCAAATGTGGCGGGGTAGAAGATTTGCAATAAGATACTTCTACTTTCTCAAATGAGATCTCTAGGAACACCAATAATTTTACAAATTTTTATCTTATCCCAGGTATTCCAGAAATAGGTGTAGCAAGTTTCGAGCCTCTGCACATCGACGGAGTCATGGTGTCAAGGGGATCAGGAGGTCTGGCCCTATCAGGCGGCTTCCGTGACCTGCAGGTCGGCGGTCCCAGCAATGCCACCGTACAAAGAGCAAGGTGAATTTGCCGCTACGTTTACTTTCTCTTGCTGCTAGAATACGATTTATCTGATATTCATGCAGTCGTCTATCTAATAAATATATCGTGCATGCACACAACATGCAGCTGCATCGGATGCACAGGAAAGCACGTCATAAATACTCTCGCTCGGGGAACGAACCGATAAATTGTAATGAGTTAGTTGATTTATTACTTCGGATAGAAATCACATAACGCGATATTTTTCATAACTAAAACATTGTTATTGGTTAGGAGACTGCCGTGTGTTTGTATTTTTATATAAAATTACATTCTAAAATTGCAAGTATTAGAGGGAACATTGCTTTCCTTACACGTTTTGGACCGTAACTTTTTCATTAGCATTATTTATTTGCTTGCGCAGATTCACTACAAAATATGGTCAAAATGTAACAACACAAACCAATAAAAAACAAACCAGTATTTACTCAATCCTCAGAATAGAGCTTCATCTTTCAGCATCATTATCACACTTTCATATAAGTTCTAGGTTTCATAATCTAAAAACGGAATCATGTGCAATTTGACCCCACCATAATTATTAGATTTTTAATGCGTTTATTTTCGTAATTAAAACATCGTTATTGGTCAGAAGTCAGCTGTGATCTTGTATTTTTATATCGCTATCAAAAATTGCTTTCCTCCGATTTGGACTGTAACTTTTTCATTTGCTTTTTTTATTTGCTTGCACAAATTTTCTACAAAATATAATTCAAATATAACAATGCACGCCAGAAAAAAATATAAACCAATATTTACTCAATCCTTAAAAAAGAGCTTCATCCTTCAGCATTACCATTCCACTTTCATAAAAGTTCTTGTTTTTATCAGCAAAAAACTGAATCAGGTACAATTTGACTCCACCCTAATCATTAAATTGTTTATCATTTGTCAAAAAGTTTTGTACAATGTAATCAGGAGGTACAAGGTGCATAGACTGTATGGTAGATATGGTAAAATTGGTCCAAGCTCCAACAGTTGTTGCTCAGTGGCCAAGATGTGTGGATGTCAATAATGGAAAAATCACCAATTTGCCTATTTATGACGCTTTACTTTAACTGCATTGTTTAATTTCATTGGTTGTTGAATGTCGACATCAGAATTCCTCATTCTGTTAGTAATAACAGTTCAAGTAAACAATTTCTATTTAATCAACTCCAACTGGAAGTCCAGAGGGTTTTTCAGCTGTGAGTAAAAAATCTCTGAAACAATATTTGGCAAACCAATTTTGACACTGCCGTTTTATTAGGGCTTTATCATCATAATTACCTCATAACTTTTGTGAGATTAAGATGTCTCTTTACCTTTGCAAAAGTTTGATGTTCTAAATTCAATGAACAAACAAAAACTATGCAACGTATCAAAAAGCACATTTGCACAGATAGACATCTAAAACTACCTACTATCTAAAAAGGTATTTTAGATAGACATTTGGAATTCCTCAGCGAATCTAAAAAATCTATTGAAACTATCTAAATTAAAAACGGCAATTACTTAGGGATCGATTCTGCATTACATAGGGAACAGAAAGGCCATGTTATAACCATGTTAACTTTCCATACTCAATATTGACCAAAGCCATGTTGTTTGTGTGCAGTCATGCGTATTTCTCAGGTTGTCAGATAGCAAACCTAACCTAAAAACCGCACAAATGTCAAAGAAAAACGATCTTAGATAACAGCGTGTTCATGACACGGCTTCATAACATACGAGAGACGTTGCAATTTTAATGTAAAACGCCTGAATGAACAGCAAACACACAAAATTTTGACAGTATTCAGTATGATTTAATAGCATAATGTGTTGAAGGTTGGTACGTAACATAGCCTTGCCTAAACTCTTATGCAATAAAATCGGTCGCTTAGTTTCCAACCTAATACTTCTAATCAACCCTGAATTAAAATCGGTTTCTTTTCCAGCATTGACTTTGTTACGAGACAAATGAACTTCGACCTAGCAATTCCCAAATTAAAAATCGATGCCAAGTACAGCCTAAAAGGCAACATCCTGCTCCTTCCCGTGGTGGGCAATGGTGATGCCAGGTTGACTCTGCGAGATGTCATGACAAGTGTCAGCACAAATTTCAGTTTGGTCGAGAGCGAACCTGGCAGACAGGTCCTCAACATCGACACAATGAAAGTTACTTTCATTGTTGGAGGAATGCGCATACATCTTACGAATTTGTTCAATGGAAACGAAATTCTAGGTAATAATAGTAATATGATGTATCTTACCAAGTACCAAGAAATTGGACGACAGAAGTTAAAAGTTGGAATTGGTTTATAGCCAATTTATTTTGTACCTATATGGCAACATTTGAAGTGAACAATCGAAGTGTTGTAAATTTTGTTGTTTATACAAACTTTATTAGATGAATACAACTTATTATATGAAGATTCAAATTGTGAAAAAACAACGCTTATCAATAATAGCAATTTCCAAATAAAATAGTGATTCAATTTTTGACAAATATACCAAGTGTTTATATATTGGGACTATGTAGTTCTATTATAAATTTTAGTTAAACAAGAATTAATTCATTTATTTTTTCCAGGTGCAAGTTTGAATCTGTTCTTGAACCAAAACGCCATGGAAGTTATCTCAGAACTAAGAAGTGATCTTGAAAGTGGTTTAGCCGATATTTTCAAAGCCTTATGGAACAACGTTTTCTCAAGACTTCCTTTAGATTTATGGACAATTCCTTGAACCATTAAAACACATTATCTGTGATCAAAATAATAATCTCTAAGTTAAAAAGCATTTCATTCCAAATAACCATCACGAAAAAAATGATATCGCTATTAAGTAAGTTTCATATAAGTATTATTTTTTATGTTATTTTAGTTTGTAATTTTTATTAAGGTATTTGTAAAATTAATGCACTTTTAACTATAGTTTAATGAAGTTATTATGTGAATGAGAGTATTGTGATAACTATTATTGTTGTTGTATGTTTGATATATTTTATAGATTTATAATGTTGTATCTTTAAACAGAAAATTTACAAAATAAATTATATATAAAAAAAGTTTAATTTCACTAGAAAATTTTATTTAGTATTTTTTAACAAAGGACGATAAAATATTTTCAAAAGATTTTTGACATAGTATTTAAAACTTGTACTTTATACAGGATAAATTTAAATAAATACAGTTCAAATTTAGTGTATTAAATTTGAGACAAAAATCAAATGCATCAAAATTTGTACATTTTGAGTTTTTTAAAGAAAGGAACGTCTGATTTTACTTATATACACGATGACATGCACCAATAGTTATTATTTTTTTATATTAATTTTTGAAATTCTAATGTATAATTTGAACAACATTTGAAAAATTTAATTACAAAGTCAACTTTTTTGATAAATATTGTCGATGTCAGTATGTACGAATAATTACCAAAAATAATCCAAATCAATAAATTGCTAATATTTCAATTTTTGACAAAATTTGAAAAGTTTTAATTGTACAATTTGGTATCAAATAGAGTGAAAACTTGCTCTATAAAATAGATATTTTTAAAAGTTTAAAAGAATGAAATCTCGGAATCTATGATACTTCAAAGAACATGTTGATCTGTGTGAAATAAATTAATTAAAAATTAACACCTGTTTCTTTGAACTTCTAATTTTATATCTTAAAATGTTTTGCAACATTTCTGTTGTCGAACCCAAAGTAAGATTTGTGTACAAGAAATATTACTATAACCAATAATATTAATTTGAGTGTGTAATATTGATTATTAATTATAAATGAAAACATAAATTGATAATTTGACTAAAATAATTTAAAACTGATTTTTTAAAACGCTTTTCTTCAATAACTGTGATAAATGCATATACGTACGTAATTGCATATTTAACAGAGTGTAATCTTCATAATTTCAAAGCATAATTTTTTTCTATTATTCAAATTGACACATTACAAGTTGTAATTTACAACAATTATTGATTATAATGTATAGAAATTTGTATTTTTATTATTTATGAGCAAAGTATCTAATTATCCATGAATAATTTATAAGACATACAAGGAAGACAATAGCTACTAATGATCAGTAACATTGATTATTCATGTTAACTTTCTATCATTATGAGAAGAAAATATAATAACATTTGTAGTGCTGGTAAACAAATTGTCTATATTAAATAAATGCATACATTAAACAATACAAATTTCAGCATAATTTAGAAAAATGAACGTTGAAGAAACGGGCATACTGAAAATGAAACAAAACTAATAATTAAGCGAGCAATTTATATGGTATTTTTTGACTTTATATGGTATTTTTTGACTTTTTGAATATAATAATATTTTCACAAATCCTATTTTCATCAATAATAGTAATACTAGTCCTTACGATTAAATAATGATTCAAAGGTAAGAGGTATAAATTATAGTTTATATTTCTCAAGAAGTTATTTATGGTACACTTGGAAGTTCCTATTTTTGATCCTCAATTAATATTTCGAGTTTCAAAAGTTGTGTATGATAAAGAACAATTTTTTATGTTATTTTTACTATTCCATTTATTCTAAAAAAATTTAATAATAAATACGCCCGAATGGATACAACAGTACAAAAATGAAATGTTTCACGATTGATCATCAGGAGCATTAAAAATAACAAAAACCAATATTATCAACAAATATATATTCAGAGTTTCAATATGTAGTTATTTGGTTTTCTCAAATTATAGAAATTTCTCTAGATTTTTTTTTAAATTTATCAAAAATTAATGATTGATTTTTGTTTTTAACGTCATCACCACGTACATTTTTCTTCTTGGATTTTTGAATAGCAATCAGAATTTAACAGATTTATAATATCGTCGAATTTTATAGGGCAACTTCATAAGGCAACTTACCGAAGGAAAAAATCGCATAAGAAAAAAAGATATTTATATTTCTTTTCATCTTTTTAAAGCCTTCTGAACTATTTGGCATAATTTAGCTAAAATGCATGTATGTGTGTTTGTGGATGTGTAAGTATGCGCGGATACAATTTTTTGTTGACGATTTCAAAAACACGGATCAACTGATTAGAATGATTCAAAAAATATTCGATTACTACCGATAGAGAGACGTGCTGATTAGTTTTTGGCCAAGGCAGGTCCAGCAGTTTCCAAATACCAAAAATGCAAAAAGTGCCTAAAATTGTATAACTCAGTATTTCAAAATATTGAACTTGATTTCACGATGCAATGCACTACTAATTTTTTCTATTAAATTTTGAAATTCAAATGATTAATTTGAAACAGTAATGCCTCGAAAAATCATTTTGAAATTTTGACTAGTTTCGATCCAAGAGTTGATCAGAAGGAGAGTTTTCTAAAGCATTTTATAAAACTATGACCAACATCTACTTTACCAGAAAATTTCCAAAACTTTTATATTTATTCAAATTCCACGTATATTTAAAACAATTTAAAAATTAGTTATTCAAATTTCACATACATTTGTTAATAAATTTCATAAAATTTTATCTTATTTCAATCTTCCTAGAAAATACTGAACATATGACTTGCAGAATTTCATATATTCTTGCGTGCAACAAGTATTACGAAAAACAAAGCGTGAATTTTTTAATGGAACGAGAAATTATATGGTGTAAATTTCTTCATATTTTTTTCTGAATATAATAAATCAAATTTTTTGGTACATTTCATCACTTAGAACACAATTACTTATGTGGTTTCTAGATACAACATTGCATAAATGTTAGACATATATAATCCAGCAATGATAACACATTAAAAACTAACTGTTGCAATAAGGAAATCTTTGAATATTTTTAATTAGAAGAAGTATAATTTTATTTCAAGTGTGATTAATCTAAACATTGTAAATTGAAAAAATATATTTTTATCGCCATAAAAATTCAATAACATCCTTAAGTCGCCAGATATTCATAATCTTATTATTGTGTGCAATATTTTTGTCCTTGAAATTACAGAGTTCATTCAAGTTTTTTCTACAAAGCAAAATATTAAACAATGATAATAGATATGTTTGTCAGTTTTTATTTAACAATAATGTAACGCGTTTTATATCTGTCGGAGGAAAACTTATAAAACAACAATATCTAGCAATTTATTGACTTCTATAGGAATTTATTGCAATCAGTCAAAACGTCATTTGCGGCAAATCTGAAGTGATATTACGGATATTGGCATTTTTATAACAATATTCAGCTTCACTAACAATAAGAATAATACCGTGAAAAAAATATATATTTAAATGTGTGCGCTCCGAAACAAGATTTAATACTACTATACTCGGTATTTGACTATGATCAGATCAGTAATGATATATGGTTTATCTATTTTAATAAAATAAAATAATAAAGAAGTTCGAGGCCTACAAAAAAAACTTCTGAAAAATAAATTCGAAAATATTAAGTACCCAATTACTCTGCATAGCTTATTTCTACATAAACATCTTGTTGAAAACAAATTTTGACTCAGTTTTTAGTACCAAGAAGGAAGGATAAAATTTGCAGAATTAGCCCCCGAATCTCATTATGTAGTAATATTTCCTTTTATATGTTTAGTTTTAAACTTCCATATTAAAATTTCTAAGTCAAGAAGTCCTGAGACACAAAATTTGAGTTTAGAAGTAAAACGTCTAAAAGTTCATCCCAGACAAATTGTTTTCAAGCCCTGATGTAAAGTTTTTGAATACTTAATCATAATAATAAATTTTAGATTGAAAGTCTTGTAATTTTAGATGCCTTAAAGTGTTTTTCAAAAGTAATTTAAATTTTGAAATTAATAAAATAACACCAATAAAATACATATTATATATGGATGCTTTTTCGATGTTGAATATGCAATTTACACTGTTTTAATATTTCAATCACGTTTCTTAGATTTCTGTATGAATCATTCATTCAGTGATTTTTTAAGTTCACAATAAAAATAAATTATTGCGGTCCAATTCTTTCAAATTCATTCTAAAAACAACAAATGGGAATTTACTTATACTGGTACTTTTTGCTAATATGAAAATGTCCGGAATCAACAAAAAATAAATTATAGATGATGGAAATAAATTATATCTATTTTTCTACAAATCTAGTTGTAAATCCACACACTTCAAAATGTACAAAATCAAAAATTCAAAAAAAAATCTATTGTTAATATACTTAAAATTTAAAAGCAGATACTATGATAATCTTGACGTTTGAACGCCTCAATTTTCATTTTAGATTCCTCAAACTATAAAATTTTATTTATTTATTTTTAAAATAAATAAATATATATTTGCATCAAAATCAATTTTTAACAAATCGTACGTAATCAAACAGTTAAAATAAATTTATTTTAATAATTAATATAATTTATAAATAGATACTACAAAGGTAATCTTGAAGTTTTAACTCCATTTTCTTAAAACCCCTCTCTCTCAAATTATTTTAGACTGAAATAGAAAACAAATAAAACTGTAGAATTGAAAATTTTATTTTAACTTTTAAAAAGCTATCTAATCGATGTAATTGGTGTTTATATTTATAAACAAATATAATAAAATTCAAATATAATATTGCAATTTAAGCGAAAATAGACTATCAGCAAATTTGGATTTATCTTGAAAAAGTAATTTTAAAATGTAGAAAAATTTAAATTCCATAGAGACTATTTCAGGCCTATTTCATATATTTATACATCAAATTCCATTTTTACCTTTTTTAACCATCCTCATATAA